TAACAGTAAGCTCGCAAAGACATAGTTTAAGCCCCGAGATGTTGGAGGAAATACAGTGCCTGCGGAATTGGCTGGGCCATCAGGCGATCACGGTGGGTGAGGTCGTCAGTTTTGGCGAAGGCATCGGCCTGGATGAAGAGGAGGCATGGTAGACTTGGTAGTCCTGTAACACCACAACAATAGCTTAATGCTGACTAACATATCAAGTATATCAAGTCGAATCAATTTAATCAAGTCCACGGACGATTTTATTTCAAGTAATCAAGTTAGACCCTCAAACTTGACTTACTTGAATTGATATCAGCGCTGGCTAAAACCGAGTAGGAATAGAACCTGAAGCTGAACCTTTTCAATGAGTCTCATAACGTGACAGATTGCAGCTCCAGAGTTGAACAGGGACGCAGTAGCATGCTAGAGCATGAATACAAGAATTTGATCTTTACTGGGTGGCTAGGTCTGGGCGTTGTTGTCTAGTCGCTGCACCAGATTTTCCAGGAAGAAGACACCGTGGTTAATTGCGTGGTGCGATATGCGTTCTCTCTCGTGAGGACCCAAGCCTTGGGACGATTCGGGTAAGATGAATTGACTCAGAATAGGCCGGGGAAGCCTTGCTTACTTGGTCAACTAATATCATGCTACCAGATGGGCGGTAGTGGAGACTGGCCCTCAGCTCCGCCCACGGCCATGCGCTGGATATTGCTCATATCATGACAGTGTAAGGCTCGAGTTAGCAGTACCCACATAAACATGGACGGTGGCTCAGAGCCTCAGACTTGCAACGCTCTAGTCTGCGACATGGTGCCGTCGGCGGTAAACTATTGCCCTTTAGGAGCCAACGTCGCATACGAGTTGACAAGTCTATGAGTGACACATCTGGACGACATGCTGCAACGTTGAAGATACAATCCGCGTTTGGTACATCGGGCTTGGAAGTTGGTCTGTACAGACAGCCACGAGATACGAAAACACCCTGAGATTACGAGTAGCTATTGACTTCCACGATCCTGATGAAGATGGCGAAGGAAGAAACCCTGTGATATTTGTCACTGATGGTTGGTCAGGCTACGTCTGAGACTTTGACACTGATAATCCTGATACTCGTACCCGCCGCCATGATGTCTAGATTTCGCTTTCGTTCACCCACCAAAGTGGGTGCTAGACATCCACATGAACAGAGCCCTCATTTTGAACTTCACCATTTTGCATATTCGGCACCCATTTCAGTGAGTGAGCTAGGGCGAAATCCAATCATCACGGCGGCCGTAGCGGGTATGAGCAGTCGTAATTTCGACGCCCCTGCATGGCCGATTTCTTGCTTAAATCTCATAAAGGCCTGGCAATGCAGGTGGTGACTGTTCATCTTCGACAGCTGCCAAGCTCATGTGTGTAGCGACTTGTAGCTGCGGCCTTCGGCGTTTCTCGGCGAGGGATGGAGTCTAATTAAAATAGGGCGTAGCACGAGTACTCGTCTCAAGAAATGGAAACCGGCATTCTCAACGGCCGACAGTTGACCAATCGGAACTTAGAACTGACACCCAATATTCCCTTTCAGGTAGTTTTTGACAAAAGCGTTAAAGCAACCTGCCCCTGAACCCCCGCACGGCCTATATCCCGGCTCCACAACCAGCTGTAGCAGTGCACTACTCACAGAGGCAATTCACCAAGGGTACCAACGTGACTCAGCACACTCCGTGTGCTAACCAGTACGTCATCAGATCTGCAGCCGTCGGTGAGGCGGTCGAATTTCCATGGCCGTTTCAGGCTTGGGTTTCGACTGCAAGCCAGCATTCCAAATTTTGTCTATTCTGTCCCATTGTCTAACTAGGAGAATTGAGGTCTTTTATCTTGACTTCCCAGCCACCTGGATGAATTCACATGGTGTGGCCAGCCTTCATATTTGTAAGAGCTGAGAATCTGACAATTTTCTGTTTTCTGTGTAACGTAGTCCACAAGAGAATGGGCCACACAAGCGACTGGGCCACTGTGACGGTACAAGAGCACGAACAAGGTCAAGTGCGACTTGAATCAAGCGATTGTTCACAAGGAGAGTTATTACGGTACACAAAGCACAAGGATTGGCGAGACCTTGGCATTGGGCTCGATGTCCATCCCGCTCGGAAACCAAGCATAAGCATAGCAACTCTAATTTAAGGCAGGTCAATGCATGCAGCCAATGTATTCTAACTTTCGTACAAAGTCGTACCCGAAGTAATGCGAAAAGTTTTGTTACTGACTCGATTATAGATTACAGACGTCATGCTGTACTGGCGGCATGACAAAGCATAGAAGTTTAACACTATATATACCTGGGCTCCAATCATGATTTTAGCAATTCATGTAGACACTTCCTTACCAGTCTTATCTACACAGTCTTACTAGCAGTCTATACCTATCTACGCCAAGATATCGACTTTCGATTAAACCCTCTATCTTCGACACCACTATGAAGTACGCCATTATCCTCGGCAACATCGCCACACTGGCTTGCGCGTTGCCTCAGCGCACACCTGCCTCTGGCCAGAAGCTCCCCTGGAAGGAACCTGGCAGATGGGCCCATGAATGTGGCCATATGGCGTTCAGTGAAGAGCAGTGCGGTACTGAGTCATACTGCAAGCTGTTCGATGGGGTCAACAATGACGGCGCCTTCAAGAGCTCCAAGGAGTGTCTTGAGGCTCACGAGCGGGAACCCAAAGCTGCTACGGCGCAGCTGACCCCTGCCGCCAAGCTCCCCTGGAAGGAACCTGGCAGATGGGCCCCTGAATGTGGCCATATGGCGTTCAGTGAAGAGCAGTGCGGTACTGAGTCATACTGCAAGCTGTTCGATGGGGTCAACAATGACGGCGCCTTCAAGAGCTCCAAGGAGTGTCTTGAGGCTCACGAGCGGGAACCCAAAGCTGCTACGGCGCAGCTGACCCCTGCCGCCAAGCTCCCCTGGAAGGAACCTGGCAGATGGGCCCCTGAATGTGGCCATATGGCGTTCAGTGAAGAGCAGTGCGGTACTGAGTCATACTGCAAGCTGTTCGATGGGGTCAACAATGACGGCGCCTTCAAGAGCTCCAAGGAGTGTCTTGAGGCTCACGAGCCAAAGCCTCTGGTCCCTGACCGCATCGTTTTCCCGGACAACTAAACACCAACAGTAACGATGACCTTAGAGGATCACCCTGTACCTTTCTATCGGAGAACACCTGGGCTCGGGCGGACAGTCACGCACTTCGTGGTACTGAATTGCATGCACGTCCAAATTTGCCTTCAGCAGCGCATCGCCATGCAACCATTTATATATGCACGTGAAACTAGTATTAAACAAGAACTAGACAGTTGTTCAATTAGTTATATTTGATAACTTCTTGGAAGGCCTATTGTGCAAAGGGTACCGTGTAATTCATTAAATGTAACGGGCTGAGCCTGATGTGGCTCGGCTTGCACTCTCGCCCTCAGCCCCGGCCCCCGGCCGGGACCCATCCGTAAGCGAGATTAACCAGGCGTCGAGCTCAGGAGCTCAAGAGCTCAAGAGCTCTCCTTTCCCAGTTCTGTTTTCTCTTTCTTCTTTAGCGTTTAGATACTCGTAGTAGTCGCCTAGCTAGTTGTCAATATCCTCAGCTTAGACCATTACAACCTGAATTTATTCACGTGGTTGGGGGGTAAAGATAAAAAGACCTCAATTCTTCAAGTTAAACAAGAGGAGAACGGACGAACAAGACATCATAATTTTATCTTCATAATAGTGCCACCGTATTTCTGACACATCTCTAGATTACAGAATCAACGCCCTCTTTTCATCTGTGTTCCGCTGTGACGTTCAACATCCCTTACCCAAGCACTTTCTCCATTTCCGCAGCCGGGGATGGACATCTTACGAATCTATCGTATCGAATGCCCAGTGGTGCTACTCGATTCGACGGCCTGGCGTTCGACTCGAGTGCAGTCATATGTGATTCGCTTCGAATCTGGCGCGTGTCCCATAGATTCGACATCGAATCATACAACAGCCATTCGAGTCGATGCCAAGGCTTCATGAAATTCGACTCGAACTCGAAGCGAATTCGATCGAACAGTCATTAATGCCTGTCAAAATGGAGGCCACAAACTGTCGTGATTCGTGACATGTGATCGGCCAGCAGTACACTGTCAAGGCTCTTTTTACAAGCTTCCTGAAGTACATCATGGAGCAGGAAACCTGGATCGTGTCTTCACATGGTTTCATGAGTGCGTAAGCCTTGTTGAACGTCACAGCGGAACACAGATGAAAAGAGGGCGTTGATTCTGTAATCTAGAGATGTGTCAGAAATACGGTGGCTTGTAAGCTAGAGATGCCGCCAAGGCACGCTATTTATGGAATATGGCAGGCTATAGGGGTCACTGTTGCAAAACCCCCAAAACCGCGACGAGAGTGCCAAATTCGGTTAGCCTGCGCCAGTGCTTGGCCCACGGTACATTGCTCGATGTACTTTCTCCTACGTTTCTTAGTATTTTGATTTTCACAAAAGGGCATTGTCATATCAGCGGGTCCGGGGCGGACCAGCAGAGTTCTAGTTCATTTCACTCAGCGACTTGAC